CACTAACCTGCGAGATTGAAGACGAGGAAAAGGGTGGGGTGAGCACTAAGCCTTGCGGGATCCTCTGACTCAACTCTCTTTCCAATCATTCTTGGCGTTTTGGTTGTTACAAAGTTAAAACTTTACATTCTTACTTTTCCAGTTATTCTTTTTGCAGCATTTTGTGCGCTTGTATGTGCCGTGCGTGGTGTGTTGTGTGTTACTCACCTATTTGCGTTGCAAAGTCCAATCACCCGTCCTGGCCCCACCTTTCGGTGTCGTTACTGGGCCACTCTCTCTTCGTTCCAAGGGGGCTTTATCTCTGGTGTGTTGTGTGTGTGTGTGTGTGTGTGTATACTCACCTAACTGTGGTTGCAGGAGTCGAGTCATAGCTCATGGCCCCGCCTTATCGCTAGTCGCCATTAGGTCCACCCTGCCTGGTCCAGGAGCAGTGTGTGTACGCACAATATACGCCTCTCCTCCCTACACTCTTACTCTCAATATAAATCTTTGTAGCGGCAATGTTACAACGCTTTCGGAAGCATTGTAACCAATAACAGAGGAGCAATACTGTCCTGGTTAAAATAGTGGGTGGAGGTGTGACAGTGTTAGTGCCTGAGTTCAATACCACCTCCAGCGCCCACTGCTGCTGCACCACCACCACCATCCGAGGGACGCCTTGCAAGGCGTCCCTCGGAACAAATTTGCTAAGATTACTTACTAATTTCTGCAGCTTTGCAAGCTCCTGATGATGTGTTGATTACAACACGAAAGGCCTAGAGCTATCATTCAACTTTCCCTGTGGTTGTTTTGCATTATATATATATATATATATATATATATATATATATATATATATATATATATATATATATATATATATGAATACTGTTTGTTACTACCAGTGTTGAGCTTCGTTTCTGTGAAATAAATACAGTGTTATGTTACAATTGTATTATTGAGTGTTCCGTACCAGGCAAACTATAGTGTTGAGTGAAGACTGCTTCTCCCTCATACCTCACACCTCTCTCTCATACCTTACACCCCACCCTCATACCTCACACCCCTCCCTCATACCTCGCAACCCTAACTTATACTTTACACCCCACCCTCATACCTCACACCCCACCCTCATACCTCACACCTAATACCCCTCCCTCATACCTCACACCCCTCCCTTATACCTCATACCCCTCCCTAACACATTCAGTATCATTTCCTTGAAGGTCTGGCTCGGGAAAAGCGTACGAGTCTGTATACTCATCGCTTTTGAGTTTGCGGGATGAAGAATGAGTTCACGTGTGCGTGCAGGCGTGTACACGTTCATGCGTGCGCGTGCATGCGTGCGCGTGCATGCGTGTAGGCGTGTGTTGAAGCATGTATGAGAACAGGAATGTATTAACGCGGCACCCAGGGCAGGACTGAAATCGACCTCATGGAATTCTAGTACTGTAATGCTTGTCTCGCATACTGTAGGTTACCCAGTGGTGTTGCCTACCAACGCTGACACCACCAACAACAACATCAGTGTGGAGGTCAGCAGCAACAACAACAGTGTGGAAGTCAGCAGCAACAGTGTGGAAGTCAGCAACAACAGTGTGGGGGGTCAGCAGCAACAACAGTGTGGAAGTCAGCAACAACAGTGTGGAAGTTAGCAAAAACAGTGTGGAAGTCAGCAGCAACATCAGAGTGGAAGTCAGCAACAACAACAACAGTGTGGAAGTCAGCAACAACATCAATGTGGAAGTCAGCAGCAACAACAACAGTGTGGAAGTCAGCAACAACATCAGTGTGGAAGTCAGCAACAACATCAATGTGGAAGTCAGCAGCAACAACAACAGTGTGGAAGTCAGCAACAACATCAGTGTGGAAGTCAGCAACAACAACATCAGTGTGGAAGTCAGCAGCAACATCAGTGTGGAAGTCAGCAACAACAACAACAGTGTGGAAGTCAGCAACAACAACATCAGTGTGGAAGTCAGCAGCAACATCAGTGTGGAAGTCAGCAACAACAACAACAGTGTGGAAGTCAGCAACAGCAACAACAGTGTGGAAGTCAGCAACAACATCAGTGTGGAAGTCAGCAACAACAGTGTGGGGGGTCAGCAGCAACATCAGTGTGGAAGTCAGCAACAACAACAACAGTGTGGAAGTCAGCAGCAACATCAGTGTGGAAGTCAGCAACAACAGTGTGGAAGTCAGCAACAACAGTGTGGAAGTCAGCAACAACAGTGTGGAAGTCAGCAGCAACATCAGTGTGGAAGTCAGCAGCAACATCAGTGTGGAAGTCAGCAACAACAGTGTGGAAGTTAGCAAAAACAGTGTGGAAGTCAGCAGCAACATCAGTGTGGAAGTCAGCAACAACAACAACAGTGTGGAAGTCAGCAACATCAGTGTGGAAGTCAGCAACAACAACAACAGTGTGGAAGTCAGCAACAACATCAGTGTGGAAGTCAGCAACAACAACAACAGTGTGGAAGTCAGCAACAACATCAGTCTAAAAGTCAGCAACAACAACAACAACAGTGTGGAAGTCAGCAGCAACATCAGTGTGGAAGTCAGCAACAACAATATCAGTGTGGAAGTCAGCAACAACATCAGTGTGGAAGTCAGCAACAACAACAACAGTGTGGAAGTCAACAGCAACATCAGTGTGGAAGTCAGCAACAACAACAACAGTGTGGAAGTCAGCAGCAACATCAGTGTGGAAGTCATCAGCAACAACAGTGGAAGTCAGCAACAACAACATCAGTGTGGAAGTCAGCAACAACATCAGTGTGGAAGTCAGCAGCAACATCAGTGTGGAAGTCAGCAACAACAACAACAGTGTGGGGGGTCAGCAACAACATCAGTGTGGAAGTCAGCAGCAACATCAGTGTGGAAGTCAGCAACAACAACAACAGTGTGGAAGTCAGCAGCAACATCAGTGTGGAAGTCAGCAACAACAACAACAGTGTGGAAGTCAGCAGCAACATCAGTGTGGAAGTCAGCAACAACAACAACAGTGTGGGGGGTCAGCAACAACATCAGTGTGGAAGTCAGCAGCAACATCAGTGTGGAAGTCAGCAACAACAACATCAGTGTGGAAGTCAGCAGCAACATCAGTGTGGAAGTCAGCAACAACAACAAGTGTGGAAGTCAGCAGCAACATCAGTGTGGAAGTCAGCAGCAACATCAGTGTGGAAGTCAGCAACAACAACAACAGTGTGGGGGGTCAGCAGCAACATCAGTGTAGAGGTCAGCAGAAATAACAACAGTAGCAGCAGCACCAGCAAGCAGTTAGCATGGCAACCAGAGCTGCAACACTGCTGCTGCCACCGCCTTTAACTAATGACTCCTGCACATGCAATGACACAATGAGCTTGTCAATCAGGCAGCGTCAAATGTGCGCCATTAAGGAGGAGTTTACGTGACACCAGCATATAAAGCTCACCTCAACCGACCAATTTCCCCCACTTGCATGTTGCCTATGAGAACCAACACCGCCATCACCCGCGATTTTATTTTTGGGCACAAGGCCCCCCCATCCTGTCCCTCCTCCAGCTGCCTTTGATGTTCGTGCAGACGTGCGTGCCTTGTCTCCCAAGCAAAAAAAAAGAATATCAGTCTTTACATGCAGGGTTGTTGGTTGGGATCGATCCCGGCTGCCTTGACGGATGTGACAGGCAAGTGACATGCGTCCTTCTCTCCCCCCTCACCTCCTATACCCCCAACATGCGTTATTCTCCCCACCCTTTTATATCCCCAACAAGCGTCCTTACTCCTTCCTCTTCATGCCCCAACATGCGTCCTTCTTCCCCTCCCTCCTCATGCCCCAACATGCGTGTTTACCCTTCCTCCTCATGCCCCAACATGCGTCCTTCCCCGCCCCCCTCATGCCCCAACATGCGTCCTTCCCTCTTCCCTTAATGTCGCCAACATGCGTCCTTGTCCAACCCCTCATACCCCCAACATGCGTCCTTGTCCACCCCCTCATACCACCAACATGCGTCCTTGTCCACCCCCTCATACCCCCAACATGCGTCCTTGTCCACCCCCTCATACCCCAACATGCGTCCTTGTTCATCCCCTCATACCACCAACATGCGTCCTTGTCCACCCCTCATACCCCAACATGCGTCCTTGTCCACCCCCTCATACCACCAACATGCGTCCTTGTCCACTCCCTCATACCCCCAACATGCGTCCTTGTCCACTCCCTCATACCCCCAACATGCGTCCTTGTCCACCCCCTCATACCACCAACATGCGTCCTTGTCCACCCCCTCATACCACCAACATGCGTCCTTGTCCACCCCCTCATACCACCAACATGCGTCCTTGTCCACCCCCTCATACCCCAACATGCGTCCTTGTCCACCCCCTCATACCACCAACATGCGTCCTTGTCCACTCCCTCATACCCCAACATGCGTCCTTGTCCACCCCTCATACCACCAACATGCGTCCTTGTCCACCCCTTCATACCCCCAACATGCGTCCTTGTCCACCCCCTCATACCACCAACATGCGTCCCACATCAACACAGCAAACGAGTGGTGTTGCTCCTTTCTCTCTCTCTCTCTCTCTCTCTCTCTCTCTCTCTCTCTCTCTCTCTCTAACATGGCTCTATTCACGACGTCAATAACCACAAAAATACGTTTATTTAGATTATTAATTAACATGTCCTAAGCAAGGGTAATATAGCTTGATATCCCCACCTGAGGAGAGGGTATATAATTGTGATATACCCGTGAAAAGTGTCCAGGTGCTCATACTCACTGTAGCCCGGCCCTGGGCCAGGCTTCTCCAGTGCTTGCCTGGTCAACCAAGCTGTAGTTGCTGGCCCACATATTCACCACAATCTGGTTGATCTGACACTCACTGAAGGTAGTGATCCAGCTCCCAAATACAACATAAAACGTACCACATACCAATAACACGCACCAAATACAACATACAACGTACGAAATACGTTAAACCTAATACCACATAAACCCTAATAGAACATAAAACGTACAAATACAACATAAACCGTACAAATGCGTGTAGGTACGCAACACTTAGAGGTAACTTTACCAACGAGACATTTCGCCCGCCGTAACAGATTTCTACAGTGGAATACAGGCGATTACAACGCTGGAGACTGTCGCAGCAGTTTACGTGTCGATGTAAGACGTAAAAGCTGAAGGCGAGATCTGGGTTTAACTCGGTGGGAATGATCCATATTATGTTTACGGTGATCCCCCGTAGTAACTCTCCAGAAGCAGCAACAGCAGCAGCATTAGGGACAACAGAAGGACAATCAGAAACAATTACCAACAACAGTAACATCAGAAGCAACAGCGCAATCAGCACCACAACTAACAACAGGCAGCAACAGCAAGAGGGGCACAGCACCACCACCAGCAACAGGTAGCAACAGCAACAGCAAGAGAAACACAGTACCAGTTGTAACAGGCAGCAGCAGCAGCAGCAGCAGCGGCAAGAGGGGCACAGCACCACCACCAGCAACAGGTAGCAACAGCAACAGCAAGAGAAACACAGTACCAGTTGTAACAAGCAGTAGCAGCAGCAGCAGCAGCAGCAAGAGAGGCACAGCACCACCACAGCAACAGGCAACAAAATATGAGGGAGAACAGCAC